TTTCTCCCCCCCCCTCCTCTTCCCCCCCCCCCCCCCCCACACACACACACACACACACACACCAAAACCAAAAAGCCCAAATTTGGCCAGCAATGGTAATGACGAAACCCTCGAATTCGTCGGAGTTCTCGTTAGAGGATTGGTCAAACAACAGATTGGTCTCCGACACTTAAGGCGAAGAGGTGGTGAAGAACGAGGCGGTGCTAGAGGAGGATGAGGAGGAGCTCGAGGCCGTCATAAGTGCCACAAGACCTCTAAGCTATCAATTTTTTAAAAGAAATTTATAATTTATGTTTGATCATGGAAAGATGAAAATATAAAGAAATACCGGCTAAATGTGATTTTTTTTTGTAAATTTTGATGTTAAGTTCAAGGTCGAGTAAGTTATCGAATTTTTTGATGTGAAGTTCAATATTTATGACGTTAAGTCTAATGAGTTACAACTTAAGTCTAAAGGCTTTTATGTTAAGTCATTTGGGTTGAATAATAAGTCTAAAGGTAGAACGTTAAGTGTAATTGATTATATGTTATGTCTAATTTCTAGTATATTAACTGCAATTGAGAACATGTTAAGTCCAAAGCTGTAACGCCCCGTCCCGGAATCCCGGAGTCGGAACGCTATTAGATCTGATGGACTGACCTCACAAACCACCACATGTCTTTTCAGCACGTTTTGTCCTCACTCACGCGCTCCCAGAAAAACTTCCCAGGGGGTCACCCATCCTAGAATTTTTCCAGGTCAAGCACGCTTAACTTTGGAGTTTCTAAGAGTTGGGTTCCCGAAAAGAAGATGCATTTTGATGGTATGAGTATTCCAATCAAATCTATCAATACTAATCACATCACCCTCTCAAGGGTGGGGTATTACAAACTCCCCCACTTAAACTCGCAACATCCTCGTTGCGCCAAATCATATCATCCAAGATCGTACCATCCGTGTGAGATTCTAGAGGTGGCTCCTACGGCCTCAAGAGGTGGCTCCCGCCCTCTCGACGTAGCACTTTGTGCCGCATAGCACTTAGCTCTCACAATTCCGGTTGGCTTTGCTCTGATACCATTTGTAATGCCCCGCCCCGGAATCCCAGAGTCGGTACGCTATTAGATATGATGGACTGACCTCACAAACCACCACATGTCTTTTCAGCACGTTTTGTCCTCACTCACGCGCTCCCTGGAAAACTTCCTAGGAGGTCACCCATCCTAGAATTTCTCCAGGTTAAACATGCTTAATTTTGGAGTTTCTAAGAGTTGGGTTCCCAAAAAGAAGATGTATCTTGATGGTATGAGTATTCCAATCAAATCTATCAATACTAATTACATCACCCTCTCAAGGGTTGGGGTATTACAAAAGCGTTCTATTGTCCAATTTATAGTATGTTAACTGCAAGTCGTTACATGTTAAGACCGAAGCGTTGTATGTTAACTCTAATTTATAATATGTTAACTACAACTCGTTACACGTTAAGTCCAAAGCGTTCTATGTTAAGTCCAAATTCTAGTATGTTAACTTCAAGTCGTTACATGTTAAGTCTAAAGCATGGTATGTTAAGTCTAATTTGTGTGTTGTCAAGTCTAACTCTATTTAATATTAACTCAAATTAGACTTAACATGTAATAAATTATACATAATATTAAATAAATTAGACTTATTATTCAGCCCAATAGACTTAACATAAAATTTTTGATGTTAAGTTCAAGTCCAAGGTGGAATATTAAGTCTAATGAGTTGGAAGTCTAATGAGTTGGAAATAAAATCCAAGGGCTTATATGTTAAGTCTATTATGTTGAATAATGAGTCAAATGGCTTGTATGTTAAGTCTATTAGGTTGAATAATAAGTTTAATTTATTTAATACTATGTGTATTTTGTTACATGTTAAGTCTAATTTGGGTTAACATTGAACAGATTTAGACTTGAAAACACACAAGTTAAATCTAACATACCATGTTTTAGACTTAACATGTAACGACTTGAAGTTAACATACTACAAATTAGAGATTTAACATACCATACTTTAAACTTAACATGTAACACACTTGTAGTTAACATATTACAAATTAGAGTTAACATACAACACTTTGGAGTTAACATGTAACGATTTGTAGTTAACATATTAAAAATTAGAGTTAACATACAGCGGTTTGGACTTAACATGTAACGACTTGCAGTTAACATATTACATATTAGAGTTAACATACAACACTTTGGATTTAACATGTAATGACTTGCAGTTAACATACTAGAAATTAGACTTAACATAGAACGCTTTGGACTTAACATGTTACTTGCAGTTAACATACTAGAAATTAGATGTAATATAAAATCAATTACACTTAATATTCTACCTTTAGGCTTATTATTCAACCCAAATGACTTAACATAAAATCCCATAGACTTAAGTTGCAACTCATTACACTTTACGTCATAAATATTAAACTTCACATCAAAAAATCCGATAACTTACTTAGACTTGAACTTAACATAAAAAATTAAAAAAAAATCACATTTAGCTGGTATATCTTTAAATTTTCATATTTCCACGATGTTCAAATAGAAATTATAACTTTCTTTAAAAAACCAATAGCTTACAGGTCTCGTAGAACTTGCGACGGCTTTAAGCTCCTCCTCGTCCTCCTCCAACACCGCCTCCTCCGCCACATTCTTCACCACCTCTTCGTCTTCAGCGTTGGAGACAATCTGTTGTTTGACCGATCCTCTGATAAGAACTCCGACGAATTTGAGGGTTTTGCCATTTCCATTGATGTAGGGTCTTAAAAAAAAGATTTGATTGATTCCTTCAACTGTATTAGTTTTGGAAAAAGACTCTATCGCTTGGTAAGAGTCATTTTATAATCACTCTTTCTCTCAAGTACAGAAGAGGAGAAGGTTGATTTGACTTCTCCTTTGTTTAATGTGGGTTCTTTAGGGCGATGGGATGCTTCACTCGATGCTCGTGTCGAGTTTGCTTTCCGTTGACGATTCAAATGAGGTTGCAGATAAACTTCAGAGTGTGGTAGAAGTTTTGTTGGATGAGTTTGAAGGCCGAACAAGTGCTTGATTGCTTGTAGGCCGAATATGCTGAGATCTTAAAGTTCGGTTCTCTTCTCCTGAGAGTTCGAACAAGACTGCCAATAAGCTTCGTCGTGTGGTAGAAGCTTTATCGGAGTTTGAATAACCGAGCTAGGATATTTGAGAACCGAGTGCACAAGATGCTAGGTTCGTCTCCTTGTCTCTTTTCTTGTAGCCATCAGTGGCTTTTTATAGAGGAGAATGGTTAGTAACCACCCCTTCAAAACGTGGAAAGTGAGCACAACCACGTCCACATTTTAAGCTTTAGTGGCTGACTTGGTCAAGCTGTGCAGGCGAGCTTGACAATTCAGGTGAGCTTGGCCGATCTTGCATGCGAGATTGGCGAGCTTGGCACATGCAGGCGGGCTTGGAACATGCAGGCGAACCTCATACGTGAACCTATCAGGCGAGCTTCATTCAATTCAGGCGAGCTTCAAGCATTCGGGCAAGCTTGGCTCATGCAGGCGAGCTTCGTTAGTTAAGCGTTCAGGCGAGCTTAACTTCGTTCAGGCGAAGCTCAATGTTTAGGCGAATTTGGCCTTGTCCACAGAGTCAAGTATTCAGGCGAACTTGACTTTGCTTATTTGATTTAGACGAAGTCACACTATCAGGTGGACTTACCTTGAATGTTCAGGTGAACAAATAGACTTGGCTTGGTTCAAGCGAACCCTAGTCTTGAAGGCGAAGTTCAGGCGTCGAGGAACATAACTTGCTGCGAAGAACGAATCATAACTTTCAAACTGTAAGTCAGAATTAGACGAATTATATATGAAAATTAACTATCTCGACGAGACGGGGCCGACCGAAGTTTGGTTTGTCGCCGTCTGTTTTACTAAATTCCCTCCGGTTTGAGAGATATTAGCGTTTTTATATGTTTTTTACTATTTTTGGTAATATTCTTGCAGGCGAACTTCTGAATTTCTCTATTAGGGATAAAGGCAATTTTATTTGCCTACAATTGCTGGCCAAATTTGAGTTTTTTTAGGGGAGGGGGGAGAAAGATAGAGTGAGAAAAAATTGTGGGAGAAAAAGAGCGAATAATATTAAGTTTTTCTAAGTAATATTAACCCCAAATTAACAATATGGAGGGAGCGTACACCTAAGTTCAGTGGTGACGGAGGATAATGTCGGTATCTGAGAGAAAAAAGAGGAAGAGAGAGAGACGAGGAAGGAGATGAGTTAGGAGAGAGAAGGAGAGGAGGAGTCATGACCATTAGATCTGGAAAGAAAAGAATGGAGAAGATAATGACATTTTGAGATTTTTTTTCTTTCTCTCTGTGTGCTTAGTTGGTAGGAAATAATGACTAATTAAGGGCTGAATCATTTGGATTTTGAGGGCTGAATCACACGTGGAAAACATTAAAGGGGTTGGTCATATGAAGTTCTAAAAATTGGGGCTTGACACAATTTTCCCTATTATTTTTTTGGGTGTTGGTTTTATTAATTCTGTCCGAACTTTAAGAGTTGGAAGTGCTCTTTCATTTGTTTGTAAACAATCATTTTATATATAATATTTAGTAGGGGATTTCGACCTTGAGACTGTTATTTCTCTGGAAAAAAAATCTTAATAATATCCAATATTGTTAGTTATATAATTGTTTTTTTTTTTTGAAAAAAAAAAACAAGGGATGATCCCTGTTCATTAAAAAAGATAAAATTGCTAATTACAAAAGGTGGACACGGAAAGTATCCTGATGTTAGTAGATAGAAAGTATAATTCAACTTAATAGGGACGTATAACTTTCTTCTTTCAAAGATCCGTGAAGATGAGGAGTGAGCCTTGCCGTCACTCACCGTTGACACAGATATAAGAAAGAACAAAAGCCAGCCATACGTATATTAAGTTGAACATAATTTCTATAAACTAACAAAACATTCCTATGAACATCATAAAACCTTATAGTATTCTAATTACAAAAGTGATGTAAAAAACCAAAATGATCTGATACAGATCCGATCAAAATTCAAACACTGGCCCTGCTTAGTGGGAAGGACTCCAATTGTTCTGCCAAACGCTTTGCAGTAGAGCTTCATCCTGCACATGTCCATTCATAAATAACCGAAATGGATACATTAATCATTGCTTTGTAAGAGAAAGCTCTTTGGTCGAAAATAAATTTGTTTCTTGTGTTCCAGATATTCCAGCATATAGCAGAAAAGAATAAACGCCATAAATCTCCCTCAATTCCTCTTAGTAACTCAATTCTATGAAGCAATTCTGACAAAGATAAAGGCCATTGGAATGGTAGAGAAAAAGCTTTGAAATGCTTCCAAATTTCCTTTGATAAAGGGCAAGAAAAAAATAGATGATCTCGGCTTTCAGTCTCCAAACCACAAAAAGAACAGATAGAATCACCATGCCAACCTTTAAGCAGAAGGATATCCTTGGTATGCAGTTTGTTATTGAAGAGGAGCCAATTAAAGAAACGAACCTTACTCGGTATGATTGAAAACCAAATAGTTTTGTAGATCGGAGATGAAATTCCTCTAGAGATTAGGAAAGTATAAAGAGATTTAACTGAATATAATCCATTAGCTGTCAGAGACCATTTTGGAAAATCCTGGTGATTGTTGATATTACAAGGTTCAATCGTATTCAAGAAATGAAGCCTATCATGTTGAGTGGCAGGTGATATACATCTTCTTTGCATAGGATGCCAAGTCCATAAATTGTTGTGGAGATAACCCTGGCTGCGAATTGGCACATTGGAGGATAAAGACAGCTTATATAAAGCAGGATATAAGCTAGCTAAGGAGTTTAATCCAAGCCATTTGTCCTCCCAAAATCTAATTTTCTCTCCTGTTCCTAGCCTCCAAAGCACATGATGGAAGAAGATGTCAGTATTGGAAAGAATACCATTCCAGAAGAAGGAGTGAGACTGATTAACCTTGGAATTTTGTAAGCATGAATTTCTATGTATATAAAGATGCCTGAGAAAAGCTCCAGTTGTAGAATTGTTGTCTAAACATTTCCAAAGCCATTTTGCTAAGAGAGAAGTATTGAAAACTGATAAATCTTTGACACCTAGGCCGCCTTCAGTTTTACTTAAGCAAACCTTTTTCCAATTGATCAAACATTTGAAAGCCTTCGTTTCAGCCGTGCCTGACCAGAGAAAGTTTCTCCTAAGCTTGTCCATATCCTTGATAAGCCATTTAGGTAGCTTGTAAAAGGACAAATAATATAAAGGAATAGAAGTTAATACCGAGTTTAAAAGCACAAGCCTTCCACCAAAAGATAGACAATTTTTTTTCCAGGTAGCCAATTTCTTATGCATGTTGTCTAAGAGAGGTTGCCAATCAGACTTTGTCAATTTTCCACATTTCAGTGGTAACCCAAGATATTTTATAGGTATGTGCTCCACTCTACAATTTAGCATGGTAGCAAGATGATTACCTCTGTTTGAAATTTTTCCGAAGTAAATCAAAGAAGATTTTGAGTAATTGATTCCCAGTCCAGATATCTCCTCAAAAATATAAAGAATAGTTTTCAGAATAGCGATATTCTTTGAATTGCTTTTGACAAACAGTAAGGTATCATCAGCATATTGAAGAGATCTCAATTGATTTAGAGGATCTTTGATACCAAGATCAGATAAAAGGTCATCATCAACATTATTACTTATCATTCTATTGAGCACATCCGCTGCTATATTAAATAACAAAGGAGATAAAGGATCACCCTGTTTAAGACCTCTATGGCATTTGAAAATTTTTGATGGATGACCGTTAACTAAGACCGCACAACTGGAAGAGGAGATTATATATTTTATCCACATACACCATCTATCCCCAAACCCTCTTCCTTTTAATAATGATAGCAAAAATTCCCAATCAATAGAGTCAAAAGCTTTAGTGAAATCAATCTTAAACATGGCAACTTCTTTCTTTCTCTTGGAGCAATAATGTATCATCTCATTGGCATAAAGAATAGAATCCAAAGTTGATTTTCCATTTTGAAATGCAGATTGCGTTGAAGCCACTAATCTCGGCATATGAGGTCCTAATCTGGTTGCCAACATTTTAGTGAAAATCTTAAAAAGACAATTGATTAGACTGATGGGCCTGTAGTCTTTCACCAATTGACTGTCTTTAAGTTTTGGAATAAGAGTAATGAAAACCTTATTCACTCTATGCAGACTTGATGCATCATGATAGAAAGAGTTCATGATAGAAATCATGTCTGTTTTGATTATGTCCCAGAACTTTTGATAAAACATCATAGAATAACCATCTGGTCCAGGCGATTTATTAGGATTCATTCCAAAAATAGCTGCCTTAATTTCCTTCTCTGAAAAAGGTATCTCTAAAGAAGCAAGGTTTAAATCAGCTTCAGGATATAAAGTGGACCAGTCTGTGTCTAAATTGCTTCTGGAAGGGAGACCAAAAAGATTGATGTAATAATCCAAAAAGGTCTTAGAGATATCTTTTTGATTAGTAATCTCCATACCTTGATGTGAAATGAGGGAAATATAGTTGGATTTTTTATGGAATGATGTTGTTTTCTGGAAAAAAGCGGTATTTGAATCACCTTCTTGAAGCCATTGGACCCTTGATCGTTGATGCCAATATGACTCTTCTTCCTTAATGATTGATGAAAAATAAGCCTTGAGATTTCTTCTTTCTTCTACTTCTATGTCAGAAAGGCTTCGATGCTCTTCTATCAAATCCAAATGATTGATTTTTGATAAGATATCTGATTTCCTAGATGATATAGACCCAAGAACTTTTTTCTTCCACCATTTAAGTCTCCGTTTAAGAAGATGTAACTTATTAATAAAAACATCCACAGGATTACCGTGACATTTGAAATTACTCCAACAATTATATACAAAAGGAAAGAAGTCTGAGTTGTGAAACCAACTTTTTTCAAATCTGAATAAAGGCGGAGCCGACTTAATTCCACCAGTATCAAGCAGAATTGGATAGTGGTCTGATCCCATAGATGGAGGCGAAAATTGCAGACATGAAGGAAAGTGCTTTTCCCAGTTTGAACACATGAGAAATCTATCTAATCTTGCCATGGATGGATTCAATCTTCTATTAGACCAAGTATAAGCTCGACCAGACAATGGAAGGTCAATAAGAGCTGCTGTAGAAACAAAATGTCGAAAAGAGTTCATCTCACAAGAAGATCCTATTCTACCACTACGCTCTTCAGATGACAGAGTGGCATTGAAATCTCCACAAAGTAACCAAGGACCAGATAAGATAGCACGTATTCTATGAAGTTCCCACCAACAAAAATCCCTATCTTCCTTATCAATAGGAGCATAAACAGAGGTGAAGATGAAACTCCAGTTAGATGGTTTGTGTAGAAGAGAAACTGATACCGAGAAAATTCCAATATATGATTGTAAGAGGCAGAAAGAATCTGTCCAACCAACAATAACACCACCTCTGGTGTCTGTAGCATCCAAGTGACTCCAATGACTTATCCTTTTACCACCTAAAGATCGAAGAATTCTATTCGATGGAGATGATAACTTGCTTTCCTGAATGCCAATTATATCTACCAAAGACTTAGAAATAAAATCTTTAACTATCTGACGCTTAACAGGATCATTAAGACCTCTAACATTCCAAGTTGCAAAAATCATTAAGAAAGAATGTGTAAAAACTCCCGATCAAACTTAACCAGATAAAATTAACTATCCAGTTGATATCTCTCCACTTCCTTAATCTTCAAATCATCCACAGATTGAACAGATAAAGAGATCCCACAGTTTTCAGCAATATTTTCAATAATTTCTTTAGATAAAGAATTAATGGGCATAGCTGAATTTTTTTTTTTGATGTACCTTTTTTAGCAGAGCGAATCATCTTTTTTGAGGTAGAAGCTTGCTTCAGAAAGCTCCTATGTTTATTGCTGAGGACAACCTTCTGAACTGAACGAGTTGAAGAAGAAGATCTTGCTTGCTTAGTAAACCCAGGTGGAACAGAGGTAGATGATTGGACTGCTGGTGTTTGATTAGAATTTGGCGGGAATGAATCTGAAGCTGAGTTTGAATTTGGAGAATCTATCTTCCCGCCAATAAAAGCTTCCCAAGTTGATCGTTCAATAAAGAAAGATTGTCCATTCCATTTTTGTTTGACTAAATCCAAGGGGAAATCACGGAGAGTATCAGGGATAGAATCATTACTGATATCAGTATTTTCCTGAACTTGCGCCTCTGGAATATGTAGCTGTTCCGATAGAATAGGTAATTGAAAATTTTTGTTACCTTTTTGATAATCTTCCTTATTAACCATCTTACCATTATGACTGTCCTTAAAATTCTCCAAATTCAAAATAGGTTCATTCACCAAAATACCCTTTCCTTTGTTCAAAGATGAAGGAGGAACTTTATCCATAACCTCTGGTAAAACATTCGCCACCGGACTATTCACTTCTGGAGCATTCACCTGATCTAGCCATTGAGATTCTAAGATTTCATCACCCTGAGCCTCCATAGCTGATAAGTGCATGCCAATGACTTACGATCCCAATTGACCCACTCCAATTGGAATAATATCTAAAAAAACCTCTCTTGTATATGAATCCACCTTAGAAGTATAAGAACATACTATTGTACGAGGAATACAGACTGCTGCTTTAACTTTGACCAGGATGCGGACGTCCTGTCCATTTAGCTTGTCTTTGATGTTCTTACATGCTCTGACCATTTCTCCAAAAGTCCCAACAATTTTTTTCAAAATGTCTATTGACCAGAAATGCAGAGGAAGATTCTTGATCTTAATCCATTGATAAAATGCTGAATCAATAATTGTCATACCTATGCTTTCATTCCATGGTGCCATCCAACCCTTAAAACTTTCAAAATTTATAGTTTTTTCATCTGTTGCTTCTGACAATTGAAAAACTGATGGGAATTCTACCAGAAACTGATTGTCTTTTAACGGAAGAATCTTACCAGACCACTTTTGCCAATTGAAAAACCATGCCAATTTGATTTTGATCAGCTCTAAAGATGGTGAGCCTTCTGTAATTGTAAGAATAGCAAAAGCAGCTAACACCTTAGCATTGGAGCATAGAGTATCAGAATCTGATAGATCAATCTTTTTGTCCTGAGGACGGAGATGGGATCTGCAATGTTTAGCAATGTGACCTACTTCATGGCACTTGAAACAGATAAAAGCTCCCTTTTTACAAAATTTTGTAGAATGGCGTTCATCTCCACAATTAAAACAACGATGAGGTTGCTTGGGCTCCATATAATCACTCGGAAAAGGATGTCGAAGCAGTTTATCCATTGATTTTCTTGTTCGTTTACGAACAACAGTGGTCCAACCCTGATCTGAGGCCGGTGCAGGAAAACCTAGCTTTTTGTGAAAAGAGCTGAAAGAGGAGAAAACTGGAGCTTTTTCAGACCAATTATAGTTATCAAAGAGAGAATTAAAAGGTCTAGGAAAGACCGGAGGTTGCTTCTGATGCATTGATAACTCTGAATCATTAACAGGAGAAGCAGGCAAAACGTCCTTTGTAAACTTTGAAATAACAAAACCCTTCTTGAGATCGTGGATTACCTGACGACGGGGTGACGATGCTAAAACACCACATTGGGAAGGAGGAAATACCTGGGCAGTCTCGTTCTTCCTAAGAGTACCAAATCCGAAAAGATTCTTGGTCATTCCCTTGTCGCCGCTTTCGCCTCTCTTCACAGTCGCCATCGCCATTCTTTGACGCCAGGTGTTATATAATTGTTTTAATAATTGTTAGAAGAAATAGAAGTGCCCCCTCCAACCCCAGTTCCTGGTTAGGCCTCTGATTAACTCCACCTTGTGTATGTATAATGTGATATATGATTGAACATCATTTTATTGGGGTACACATGAAGAATATGTGGTTGTAATATTTTTGAAGCCTAGCGAATAAGTTTCTCCATAGTGTAGCATAGGGTCCATTTAGCTTGATAGGACTACTGGAAGTAGGAAATAGATAGAAGAAGTAACTTCTAAATTTATGAAGTAGAAAGTTATGAAATTAATACTTCTTTTGTTTGTTTCACATATTTTTTGAAGTAGTGGAAATAGTACTTCTTATTCTTCATTTTTTTTTTTGGATAGCAATAAAAAGTTGTTAGGAAGTAACTAATAAAAGATATAGTAATAAAAAAAGATTATTTATCTTTCAATTAATGCACATTTCATTTACTTCTGGGCTACTTTTAAGCCTTGAGGGACGAAAAAAATATTTAGAAAGTAGGGTTGACGCACAGGTACCATATCAGCGTTTAAAAAAGTATTGAAATTATATTCTTCAAAGAAACAAACATATTTGTTTGTTCAGAAGTAGCAAAAATTGCCTCTACTTTTTTTACTTTAGCTACTTAATAATTACTTCCATGCAAACAAACAAGTGCTGAAACTCAAGCCTGCATTCATGCAATCTATATGAACATAAAGGCGAGATCACCCTTCTTTCTTTTTCTTCTTCTCACCCTTCTTTTTTTTTCCTTTTTTTTTGGCACGTGTGGTGTACATGTAACACAAAATTGGACACATTTATTTGTAGGATTATCAATGCTGGGTGAGGATTAGATTTTTAAGTATTTAGAATGTTTCTGATGATTGCTTTTAGCGGATTTGTTTGTGGAAAAATCCGAAGCAGAGTGGAACTTGTGGGAGTTCAAACCCTGCCAATAAACGATAGCATGCAAAAAGCTCTTGTTCTCTCTGGAAAAGTATGCTCTTCTGTTGCATAATGGATATACACGTAACATAAATTGCTTGAAAATCTCAAGAAATGTTACATTTCTTTCGTTTAATGCAATTGCATCCAAACATTGAGTTTCTGTAAGTTGGACATTTTTAGTTCCGACAAAGAATGAATCAAATCAAGAATTGAAACACATGTAATTGCTCTTCTATCCATAAAAAAGTGTCGGAATGTAAAAAATACAACTCAATCCTCACCACAACTTTGAAATTTTAGTGTGATAATTAGAATCTTTGACCAAAAAAAAAGAAAAACTAAAATAACTCCGATTCCTCCCTGTAGCGGGTGGAAAGTGATTGTCATGAACATGTTGGAGCTTCGCAAAAACATTCGAGCTGCATCCATGTTGTGCTCAGCGGAAATTTCGGCAACATCTCCGGTGCGCAAGGTGCACAACAAGAGATTAGATCAAAACGAAATTCTCGTTTCACCAAGGAAACAAGAATCGAAAGTGCAATATCTCAGCAAAGTGTGATATACACTCTTCCTCTCATCAGTTCTAGGACTGACCTATCGAGGGAACCTAAACAAGCTATTACAAATCACAAGACAGCAAGACAACGAATTTTACGTGGTTCGGCAAGTTGCCTACGTCCATGGGGCAATGAGGGGGGAGATCTACTATTAGAGTGAGAGAATACAACCAGGGTTTACAATCACACAACTTAAACCCTCAAACAAGCTCTCAAATCCCTCACACAAAAATCTCTCTCAAAAGGGGATGCACAAAACCCTTGACAACGGCCGACTCAGCCTCTACCGAATCCCTTCAGCACGCCGAAGAATCAATCTGCTTTTTACCTGTACTTGCACAACCACCTTTTTTTGTTTTTTTTTGTTCTCACCTTCTGCCTATTCACAGCCCTAAGAAAAAGAAGAGGTATTTATAAACCTCTCTTCGGGTGGGCCATCACCACGCGGTCACGAGAATCCGCGTGAACTTCATGAAGGTGGCCCCCACATGAACCCAAAGTTTTGCTCTTCACACGGTTTTCCTCTCCACGTGGCCCCCACTTGCTTCACAATTCTCCACCTCGGTGAAGTTTTTCCAAAACTGAGCCGACACCAACCAAACCAATTGTCTCACTTGTTGCGTCCAGTACAAAGTGAAATAATTCACGACAACGAAATCAATCCACAATAAGCCGAGAACCCAAATGAGAAAGCGAACACTCTCCAAATATCGGTATCAACTCACCAACTAGGCTGTATCATAAATGATTGCCTACGTATCCTCTTACCCAAGGAATCAAGCCTTCACGTAGTTCACCAAAATGGCCTCCAAAGATCTCAACACCGAAGAATGTTCAAAAGCTCCAAACAATAACCAAACTTAACACCTGAAACAACTTTGTTCAATATATCCGCAAGGTTGTCCTTTGTGTGAATTTTCTCCAATATGACATCTCCATCATCCAAGACGTCACGAACAAAGTGAAATCTGACATCGATGTGCTTTGTGCGTGTATGATAAACCTGGTTCTTCGCCAAATAGATAGCTGACATGCTATCATAATATACCCGAAGGGTCTCCTGTGCAATCCCCAAGTTCTCCAATAATCCACGCAACCATAAAGCCTCCTTAACAGCTTCAGTCACCGCCATATACTCTGCCTCTGTAGTAGAGAGAGCCACTGCAGACTGAAGTGTACATCTCCAACATACTGGTGCACCTGCCAATGTAAACACATATCCTGAAGTAGACTAGCGTTTGTCAAGATCTCCAGCATAATCTGAATCCACATAATCAATACAATCTTACACATTCTTCTCATCCTTCTCGAATACCAAACCAACATCCACGGTGCCTTTAACATACCGTAGAATCTACTTCACAGCCTCCCAATGACCCTTCCCGGGGTCATGCATATACCTCGATACCATGCTCACGGCCTGTGGTAAATTTGACCTCGTACACACCATCGCATATATCAAGCTACCTACTGCACTGGCATATGGGACCTTCGACATATAATCTCTGTCCTCAACTGAAACAGGTGACATCTTAGCTGAAAGCTTAAAGTGGGGAGCCAATGGAGTGCTCACTACCTTTGCATTATCATCAAAACTGAATTCCTTCAACATCTTCTGCAGATAACTCCACTGTGTTAGCTTCAATCTCCTCTTCGCCCTGTCTCTTTCGATCTTCATACCCAATATCTTCTTCGCCTCTCCAAGATCCTTCATCTCAAACTTGGATGTCAACTCCTTTTTTAGCTTTCGAATAGCCGAAGAATTCCTGGAGGCAATAAGCATATCATCAACATATAGTAACAAATAGATGTAGAGGCAATAAGCATATCATCAACATATAGTAACAAATAGATGTACTCACCATCCTGTAGCTTGTGCATGTAAACACATGGGTCATATGATATAGTAACAAATAGATGTACTCACCATCCTGTAGCTTGTGCATGTAAACACATGGGTCATATGGGCTCATCGTGTACACTCGGCTAATCATGAAGCTGTCGAATCTCTTGTACCACTGTCGCGGCAATTGGTTCAATCCATAAAGAGACTTCTTCAGCTTGCAAACCAAATCTTTTTTTCCTGCAGCTTTGAATCTCGGTTGTGTCATGTAGATCTCCTCATCTAAATCTCCGTGTAGAAAGGCTGTCTCCACATCCATCTAGACCAAATCCAAATCCAGTTGTGCCACCAACGCTAATAAAATCCGAATCGACGAATGCTTCACAACGAGTGAAAATACCTCGTTGTAATCAATGCCCTCAAGCAGTGCATATCCCTTGGTAACCAATCTGGCTTTGAACCGAATGTCCCCAATAGAAAATCCCTCCTTCTTCGCATATATCCACTTACAACTAATAGATTTCTTACCCTTAGGTAGCTTTGTAAGTTTCCAAGTGTCGTTCTTCTGAAGAGATTGTATCTCCTCCTCCATAGCTTCCCTCCACCTAATTGAATCGGGGCTAGACTCTGCCTCCCTGAATGTGGATGGAACCATATCATCAACGACCTCCACTGATAATACATATGCGATCATGACATCATTATACCTAGTTGGCCGACGAATCACCCTTCTAGGTCTATTTGCTGTAATAGACTCCAGAACATGACCCTGCTCCTGAGTCTCACAATCCACTGTATTCTCTATCTGCCTGGTGTCATCCCATCTCCTCCCAGTGTCACCTCTGTAGGAGTCTCGATGGATTCAATGCTCTCTGGAGTGAGTGGAGTCACATCATCCTCCACCTGCTATGATATCTCCCGAACCTGGTCTTCCTCCACCTGGTGAGGAACTTGAGGCTTCATCATGTACGCCTCGTTAAATATGACATCCCTACTAATAACTATCTTCTTGTCCTATGGATCCCATAACTTGAAGCCTTTAACTTCATCTCTAAATCCTACAAAGACTGCTTTCCTCACTCTCGGATTAAATTTACCATCACTGATATGGTAATAAGTAGGACACCCAAATATCCAAAGCGACTCATAGTCACTAGCTACCGAACCAGACCAACACTCCAACAGAGTCTTCCACCATATCGTAGTGCACGGTAACCTATTCACGAGATGGCTCACATAAACCAACGCCTCGGCCCAAAAGAATCTAGTCAATCCACTATGCGTCATCATACATCGCACCTTCTCCAGCAAGGTACGGTTCAATCTCTCAGTCACCTCGTTTTGTTGCAGTGTCTCTCTAACTGTGAAGTGTCGTCTAATGCCATGATCCCAGCAAAACTATAGAAACAGATCACTCTTATACTCTCCACCGTTATTTAAACGTAGAGTCTTCACCTTTCTACCTGTCTGCAGCTCCACTTTCTTTTTTCACTCCACAAAAATATCCAGGATCTCATGTTTATACTTCATAGGGTATACCCAATTCCTCCTGGAATAGACATTAATAAAAGTGACAAAATAGTTAGCTCCACCAAGTGATGTGTTCTTGGAAGGACCCCAAACATCTGTGTGAATGTAATCCAATGTATCTTGAGTGTTGTGAATAGCGGTGCCAAACTTCACCCTAGTCTTCTTCCCAATACTC